ATCAGCATATTATACTGATTTCTGAAGATCATGTGACACTGAAGACTGGAGGAATGATGCTGAAAATACAGCTGCTCATCACAGAAATACATTACAGTTTAACACATATTCACATAGAACACAGCTGTTTTACATTATAATAATATTTCACAATTTTTACTGTATTTTTCATAAAATAAATGCAGCCGTGGTGAGCAGAAGAGAGTTCGTTCAAAAACATTTAAAAAATCTTGCACACCCAAAAACTTGAATGCTAATGTATATTTAATAAAAATTAAAAAATTAAAAAAAATTTATACATTTAATATTAAAAGAGTAGTGTATGTTTATCATTATTATTGAAACATGTTTTTTTATTATGATGCTGTTAAATTTGTCACAGCTTAAATATTTGTAAATTTAATTTGAATTTTTTTTTATTTTAAATTATGTTATACATTTATTATTTAAATATCATGGGTGGCTTTTATCATATCGCTGCTGCTTGTTTTTTTAAATCAGACTCTTGCTCATGACACACAATATTATTATACATTATTTATTTAACACACATACTTATTTACATTTCAAATTTGCACATATCATACCTATACATGTCTATATTATATATTAGGGTTTTGCTATTTTGTACATTGTCTATTTTGTATATTATTTATATATATTATATATATATAAATATATATAATATTATATTACAAATGTATATTATTCTTTTTATTATCTGTGTCCTGTCACTGTCATACTGTTGCACTGTGGAGCTGCTGTCACTCAAACTAATTCCTCGTATGTGTAAACATTAGGGCTGGGAAAATAAATCGATGCATCGTGAATCGACAAATGATTCCGCATCGATTCGGAGATTTCCAGAATGCATCGTGCTTCTTTCTTGAGTCGATTCTGAGCTTAGTTTTGAACAGCAGATGCTTTAGAAACAGCCGTACTCTGCTTGTTTCCAAATCCTTACACACACTTGAACCTAAAATAGTCATTCATAAAATTCGAAAAGGTTGAAGAGAAATTACAAGGGTGTTCACAATGGGCTGTTTAGATTAATATGGTGTCATAAAAGCATTCTGAGCCGAGGTGAAATTGACTCACCCTCAAGTCATTCTGGGTGTATATGACATTCTTCTTTCAGACTAATCATGGCAGTCAGCGGGTGTTGCATGCATCAGTCCAAAAGAAGTTAAATAAAAATCGCCCATCCATAAAAAAAAAGTGTCTCACACGGCTCCGGGGGGTGAACAAAGGCCTCCTGTAGCGAATTGATGCGTTTTTGTAAGAAAAATATCCATATTCAAAACGTAATAATCACTTTAATGTAGCTTGCGCCAGCAGTTGTACACTGAAGCAGCTCCGGGAGCATGACGTATGAGGTCAGCGCTGCGCATGGTCTTCAGTGTCACATGATCTTCAGAAATCAGTATAATATGCTGATATAAAATGTTGCACTGCTTAATATTTTTTTGTAACCCGTGATACTTTTTTCAGGATTCTTTGATGAATAAAAAGTTAAAAAGAAGAGCATTTATTTAAAATAGAAATATTTTCTAACAATATACACTACCGTTCAAAAGTCTGGGGTCAGTACATTTATATTCTTTCTTGTTTTTAAAGAAATTAAAACTTTTATTCAGCGAGGATGTGTTAAATTGATCAGAACCCAAACTTTTGGTAGTGTACATGTAATGAGAGTAATGTGGTTTTTCGCTCCCACAACAGAAAGTAAAGACGCAGCGGCGGCGGGGTCCAATCGTCCAGGCGGTGCGATCCGCGTCTGCGGTGATGAGAGCGGTGATAGAGTCACGGCGGGAACCTCTGTGCCCTTCTGCTCCATGGCTCACGCCCAGCTGTGCTTCCACGGACACAGAGACGCCGTCAAGTTCTTCGCCGCAGTCCCAGGTAGAGCAATGACCGCGAGTAGGGAACTATGAAGTGCATTGTATTTTTTCCCCATGTTCTGATTTAGTTTTCTGGATTCTATTTATTTTATTAAAGCAATAAGCCCCAAGAAGCCGTGATTTACAGTGAATTTATATCAGCTAAGGGGCGTTGTTAGGTACGACGTGAAGCCACAGCTTCTCGGGGCTTATTGCTTTTATAAAACGGTTATTCCATACACGTAGTACGGCTTCACAAAATAAAACAGAGCACATAAAGTGTAATGATATTAATAAACACAGTATTCTTCCACCAAACAATGTAGCTCCTCAGAAACAGTTGTGGTTGCTACAAAGCGGTTGCCGAGCAACACACAAACGTAAACAAAGGTGTGTGTTACTTTGTAGCGTCATTTACAACAGCTTCTAACGCGGCTCAGCCAATCAGAATCCAGCACCGGGACTCTCCGCTTTATAAATGATCTTTTAACAACTTTTCAAATATTTGTTCACAACATAGTTAAAAATAGTCAACACACATGTGGTACAAGCAGTCTAGTACAATAGAGATCAGTAGAGACATTTTTGTCTTTTTGGACTATTTTAATTAAGAAACCAAAAAGCATGTCTAATTTCAAAACAAAATTTAACTTTTTAATTTTTTTTATTTCCCATTTGATTTTTTCCATTTCAGATAAATGTTAGTAATCATAGAGCTTGTCTAATTAATTGAATTCATAAAGCTTTAACAGTTTAATTTATAAGAAATTTGACAAATTACACATGGGGATGAATAAATATACAAATAAATGAACATATAAATGAAAGAATAAAAAATACAATTAAAAATAGATAAAGAAAATAATAATAAATAAAGTGAGAAAACATAATACAAAATAAAAATTAATCGTATTTATTTTAGCAAGTCATTTATTTATTCATTTATTTATGATCTTTTAACAGCTTTTCAAATATTTGTTCACAACATAGTTAAAAATAGTCAACACACATGTGGTACAAGCAGTCTAGTACAATAGAGATCAGTAGAGACATTTTTGTCTTTTTGGACTATTTTAATTAAGAAACCAAAAAGCATGTCTAATTTCAAAACAAAATTTAACTTTTTAATTTTTTTTATTTCCCATTTGATTTTTTCCATTTCAGATAAATGTTAGTAATCATAGAGCTTGTCTAATTAATTGAATTCATAAAGCTTTAACAGTTTAATTTATAAGAAATTTGACAAATTACACATGGGGATGAATAAATATACAAATAAATGAACATATAAATGAAAGAATAAAAAATACAATTAAAAATAGATAAAGAAAATAATAATAAATAAAGTGAGAAAACATAATACAAAATAAAAATTAATCGTATTTATTTTAGCAAGTCATTTATTTATTCATTTATTTATTTCTGCAGGTTTGGTCCTCTATATTTTAGTGCCCTATAAACTCCATTTAATTATTATTATTAGTTTTGTTTTTGTTTTTCTCCAAATTTTGTCTTTTCTGTTTTAATTTTAGTAGTCTAAAAGCATATTTAATCAATTAAATTCATAAAGCTAAGTTTAACAATTTATTACATTTTCTACAATAATAGTGCCCTAAGAAATTATTTATTTATTATAATTAAATTTTTTTTTTATTTTTTATGGATTTATGATTTAATGCAAATTTATTATTCAAAACAGTAGCAATCAAATATAAGTGACCTTGCAGCACAAAAGCAGTGTTGAGTCGCTGGGGGATATTTGTAGCAATAGCCAACAATACATTGTATGGGTCACAATTATACATTTCTCTTTTATGCCAAAAATCATTAGGATATTAAGTAAAGATCATGTTCCTTGAAGATATTTTGTAAATGTCCTACTGTAAATATATCAAAACTTAATGTTTGATTAGTAATATGCATTGCTAAGAACTTCATTTGAACAACTTTAAAGATGATTTTCTCAATATTTAGATTTTTTTGCACCCTCAGATTCCAGATTTTCAAATAGTTATATCTCAGCCAAATATTGTCCGATCCTAACAAACCATACATCAATGGAAAGCTTATTTATTCAGCTTTCAGATGATGCATAAATCTCAATTTCCAAAACTTGACCCTTATGACTGGTTTTGTGCTCCAGGGTCACATATAAGCTTAAAACATGAACAATCTTTAAAATGTAAACCAATGCAAATTTACCCATTTTAAGTGCTGCACAGCAGAAGTTTACTGTCAGAACGAAAGCATGCCACCTCAGATGCAGCTTCTGTGCCAAAGATGAATTTAGTTAATAACAGACCCTTAGTGTCTTATTCTAATGGAATCTATCGATCAAATGTAACAATCTGACATAAAAGATGATGCATACATTTAATAAGAGACGGAAATGATCCAGAAATGTTATTTTTGTTTGTAAGACAAAGATGCTTCTACTGTAAATTTGAGAGCTGTGAGCACATGCCTGTATTAAAGGTCCGTGGTGTTGTTCCTGTGTTGCAGTGCAGGTGATTGCATCTGCGGGGTCAGGGGTCGAGGCGTCCGATTCGCCGGAGCTGGTGAAGTCTGTGCTGGTCATGAGCGGAGGAGAGGGTTACATTGACTTCAGGATGGGTGAGTGAGACGCGTCCCAGTGCCGCACTCCTGTCAGAAGCGCCTGATTACTCACACGCCTCTCTTCCTATCACAGGAGATGAAGGAGGAGACACAGAAAACATCAGCAAACCCACTCTCAACCTGCAGCCCCTGCTGGCCAAAGCTGAACGCGGTCACCTCATCGTGTGGCAGGTCACGACTGGCGAGGAGTGACGTCGCTCCAGACGCGCTTTGGACCGTTTTCAGGCGCTTCTGCTTTATTTAAGACGTTTCGAGCATTGGCTTATAGCATTTCTACCATGCAAATCACCAAAGAATGACGTATTCAGACTGTTAGTTTGCGCTTTCAGTATGAATTGTGCTTTTGCTCTTCATCTTTGGCAAGTGTTTCCTTCACGCAGATTGCAAATAATGGGCGGTCCGTATTTTTTGGGTGAAAGCACAACGGGATGATGCACAGTGCACTACATCTTAGCTAGGAAAGCTTTTGTGTTTGTTCGTAGGATGTTTTCACCAATAAGTGCTTTTTCAATTCTTAAATCATCCACTTTTTTCATATGAATGTCGCACGGTTACCAAAGGATAGAGAAATCATTTAATAGCTTCATTGATGGATTCTAGATCACTTTGTGTCTCGCAGATCCACGTTTTGCTCGTTCGCCTATTTTTTAACACTCTTGCAGTTTTTGCAGGAAAGTAGTGCGTAGAGACAAATGTGTATTTTTATGACTCTTTTGTACACGTCTTTTAGACTCTAATGTAGAGCATCTAGAGCTGCTTCGTGTGCAGGAGAGCAGAAACAACCTCCTGTCGCAAACTAAACTTTGCAGTATTTATTTCTATGAACGAGCCTTTGCAGTTCAGAATGTAACTTTGTACATTGAATATAAATAGATACAAAATACAGATATGTATATGAAATGTAGACTGCTTGGATTTGAGTTTTTTTGATAATGTAAATCAGGTTGATTGATTGATCGTGGGCGGATCAAAATAACGGACTACAGAAATGTAAAAAAAATCACTGAGCTATGCACTATTTTTAAAGGACTGTGTGTGTGTGTGTGTGTTTAGATGAGTGTGTTATGCCAGCATTTTGTGGACCGGAAGAGTGCGCCGTCCCATAATCCTCCAGGTTTGGGCACTTCTTATCTGTAAGAACGGAGCGGACATCTCCCAGAATCCTCTGTTAGTCTGTCGTCCCTTCAGTATGTTCATCTCCTCTC